GGGTCGCTATGAGTCGGAAACGACTCGACGGCACTTAACAACATAACAACTAACATGGCAAAAGTAGAAGTAGAACATTGATCTCAACAAAGACCCAAATGAATAGGTTAAAATTTATTCTATTTAAATTTTAAAATTAAAATTTAGTTGACTTAACTAAAAACCAAAGTCTTAGTTTAAGTAACCATTGATCCGATTCAAAGCTTGCTACAGAATGTGTTCCCAGGACCAGCCGCAGCATCACTGGTGAATTAGAAATTCAGAACCATAGGTCCCCACTTCTGACCCACTGCATCAGAATCTACATTTTCCCCAGGTCCCTAGGTGATAAGCTACTCACACCCACATTTGAGAAACACCGGTCCTCCATTAAAGCCCAGGGCCAGTAAAGGACCTGAGGAGAAGGAACTGCCTGCCTGCTCCCAGTATGTTTCAGGGTGAGAGCAGTTCCAAATTGTATCTTCCAACGTTACACTGCCATTAAATCATGTGCTGTGCACAAGACAGGAAAAGCAGGGAGGAAGAGGAAAACAGTGACACTTCCCAGCCCTGTAGCCTAAGATTCAATAAAGGTTTCAAGTAAGAGTATCAAATGCTTTTATTAAAATAAAAAACCACTTATTTAATAACCCACCTTTCTTAAAAAAAAAAAAAAAAGAAATACACTAAGATTCAATAGTCCTTGCAGCATAGGAAGAAGTGGTCAGCCAATGTTTTTCTTATACTTAAGATCTGAGCTTCCTCCCCATGTTTTCTTGCTTCGTACCAGGAGAGGAAACGTCTGAACTCCAGTCACTGCTCGACATCTCGTATGCCGTCTTCTGCTTAAAAAAAAAAAAAAAAAAGAAATACACTAAGATTCAATAGTCCTTGCAGCATAGGAAGAAGTGGTCAGCCAATGTTTTTCTTATACTTAAGATCTGAGCTTCCTCCCCATGTTTTCTTGCTTCGTACCAGGAGAGGAAACTGGCTAGAGGATTCATATACAAGAAGGTCACAGTAACTTTAAAGCTATCTGATGTAATGTTTTGTACATTCTAGTTTGCAACTCTAAGAAACAACATCAAATAACCACCACCAAATCCCTAATCCCAGCTAATGTTTCCTGCTGTTACTCGCTGACATTACATCTTTGGGACTGCATCAGTGGTTCCTTCATTGTAGCTTTTGTTCATCTTAAAAGCCACATGCAGTCTCCAAGTTCAAGTATAAAGGCGTGTTTCAGGACAATCTCAGATTGCTGTAGTGTCTCTTAGTCTTTCTGTAGTGTCATCTGGGTGTCATAACCTTAGACGGGATAGCCAGATGGCATCATAGTGTGAGGCACCCAGTTCATTTTCTCACTGCTAAGCTTGTTCTCTGGTCGTTTGGGACACTGTCCCACAGTCAAGGTGGAAATCTTGATGTCAGTGAAAACCTCAGACTATCTTCATTCAGAAGCTATCCTCTTGTACGCAGATGAAGCCACTTCTTCACCGTTAATTAAAAGGTGCTTTTAACAGCTGTCAGGCATATTCTAAAAAGAAAAGATAATTGTATCAAAATGCTACTTCGGGGTTAGAGACTATATTTGCCTAATTTTATGTTCCCAAAGGAATTTATAATTAAACCAGGAAGAGAGACTTGAAGAGAATGCCTGGCACTCTGTAATAGGCCCGAGGTCTCCTCTCAACACAGGCACAAAAAGCCAATGGCTCTGCTGCCAGGGCCCTCCCAAGCCTGGGGCTTTGGTGTGGTTTATAGGCAGATGCTCAAGCTCCCCTGGGCCAATTCACCACACGTATCACGTATCTGACTCAGTAAGAAAAATAGACCCCTTAAAGAATGTGAAAAAGAGAACACCAGTGGAAGAATGAGGGGAGAAGGCACACCCCAATGGTTACCAGTAATGGCTGAGTAAAAGTGTTATCTGCATCCTTGCTGATCACTGGTCATATTTATGACTAATGTCTGCCAAACCAGGCAAAGAGCATCCTTTAGTATGTCTGCAGCTGATTTTTAAATGAAATTTAATTCCATGTTTAGCTCTTCCTAAATGTAAGGAGGCCTTGTGGAGCTTAAAGCCAACTGTGAGCCCACGTAAGTGGGTGGCTGCCTTAGGCCACTTGACTTTAAAACTGCAAACCCAAGTTAACTCCTTGTCCAGGGGAGAGACTCGTTTAAACAATTTCAGAAAAACAGGATTTTCATTTGCATTTCACTTGTGCACACCAATTATCCCAGTAGGTTTCTAATGAAGTGTCTATCCAGAGCTTACATGTTTAGCCCTGGTGACAAAGAAAATCACACTCACTGTGACACAAGGTGAAGTCCATCTGCAGTGACTACTTTTCTGAATAGGTAAGAAATGTGGTGCCCCTTTCTATCCATTTCTTATGTACCTATCAGCCAGAGAAAAATGCTCGGCATAAAAGATGATCTGTATTCCAAACCTTAAGACGCATCCTGGGATGGAGCCACAGGGTCCTGGCTCTCAGGCTCAGGAGGGGGAGCTGGTGTGGCTTCTTTTTTCTGGGCCGCCAGGAACTCATGAATTGCTCGTTCTATCTGTGGCCTGAAGATGTGGTTTAGTTTTGGATCCACCACCTGGGAAATAATTCTGTCTACTCCAGCTTCCAACATCCCTGACCTTGTGGAGACAAATAGACCATTCAGTTATTTAGTTCCTTTGAGACTCATTTTTAGCCCAACCAGTGTCATGTGAGAGCTCAATAAATGTCCACCTGGTCAGAACTGCAGCCCTCCTGGGGAGTTCTTGCAAAGGGCAATCTATTTACCACATACCGTTCAAGGCACTTTAATTCATTTTTGAGAGGCAATTCACAACCAGCAAGCACCTATTTCTCCTAATTCACTATATGGTCCACTACCATTGTAACTGCGTATGAAGGAACCAAACAAAATGAAGCAGACTACCCAAGACAAAGAACAAGTGGTAACATTACAGGAAAATCTGATGACATGTGCAGAGCCAAAAATCTTTATAACATCAAAAACCAGTGAACCTCAGGTCTGACTCCATTTCCTTCAACATCGATTCTCTTAATAAACAAAGCAGGAAAAACAACCTCTAGCAGCAACCTGGCTATTATATGCAGTCCACAACTTACAACGTGTTCAAGTTAAGACAAACTGCATTTACGACCATTCTGTTTTTCTTCTGGTACATCTTATTGTTAGTAATATTAGTACATACAATACTGCAGTGCATAATTTGCTGATGTTATCTTTCTTGAAGTTCATTCAAAGGTGTTTAATATTACGATTTATAAAGATACTGAAAATAAAAGCAGCAATAAAAACTAAAAAAAGAAAAATGTGCCATTTGACTTAAGTCAGAACCAATTTACGATGGAGTTGTTGGAGTGGACTACCTGTAATCCCCAATCTATGTACAAATAGATCACAGATGGGTGTTTACACCACCACCAATCTAACATGGCCTTCACCTGTAGTGGCTGGTCATCTATGATACAGAATAGACAAATGGGACACAAACAGATAAACACACAAGAACCAAATTGCTTCTAATCTCTGAAGGGGTTAAAATAAATTTTGATGAAAAAGTAGCCAAATTTTACTAATATCTGTATTCAACCACTTGGGGTGAGGTAGTGACGAAGACTATGATGACAAGAAATAAACCGTATTTGAAAAATCTAGAAAACAGCCTATGCAGGCTCAAACTGCAAACTCAAGTTTCTTCTCAAAGGATTCAAATATTCAAATTCCATCACAAGCATATAAACTAAACCAAAACCAAACTCACTGCCGTGGAGTTGGATCTGACTCACAGTGACCCCTCCTTGGGTTTCTGAGGTAGTATCATTATGGAAGTAGACTGCCCAACCTTCCTTCCGAGGAGTAGCTAATGGGTTTCAACCACCAGCCTTCTGGTCAGCAGTCAGATGCCTTAGGCACTACACTACCAGAGCTCCTTCACAAGCATATGTTGTTGTTGTTGTTTGCCGTCGAGTCGGCCGACTCATAGTGACCCCTCCTTGGGTTTCCGAGGCAGTATCACTACGGAAGTAGGATTGCCCAACCTTCCTTCCGAGGAGTGGCTGGTGGGTTTGAACCGCCAGCCTTCTGGTTAGCAGTCAAGTGCCTTAGGCACTATGCTACCAGAGCTAGGTAGGTTTTATTTAGTAAGAGTTCCTAGCCTTTGCTTTGGTCAAAATAGGCCCTGCCCTAACTGGGCAAATGGTCTATCAGGGTAAAGAAAAGGAAAGAAATGAGTGAACATACATAGTGATAAGTAAGATGGGAAATAGGCCTTAAACCTGGAGTCAATGGTGAAGATAATCTTATCAACAGGAAGCCTTGATGTAAACACACATCTATTAGAGCATTTACAGTGCATACTTTCAGGTAGCTTGTGCATTAGACTTTATCTGCCCTTAAGATAGGGAACAGGAACCACAGTGAGGTCAGCCTCAGGCCTTGGGTCAGTTACCAAGCAGAGCCATGGTTCTTCATTCACAAGCCAACACCTTTCCCACTATATATACCATGCTGCCTCCTCAGCCAGATTCATGGGACTTACTGTAAAAGCCTGTGGGCAAAGTACCAAGAAAGTATAGCTGACTTTCTTGGAGCTTTTAAAAAGAAAGTATTTTGGGGAAATGTGCAATCTTGTCAGGAGCCTAAAACAGGAGATGAAATGAACAAGTATCAGGCAGCTAAAAGACTTACCAGTTGTAATTTATGTTCAGCAGTCTAACATGATTTAAGTTAATGGACCACAATACCTGGGCCTGCATAGCCTGATCAGCCAGCCCTGCCTAAAGGGCCTGCAGCATCTCATCTGGGGAGAACACACTAGGCTAAAGGAGCAAATCTTCATTTTAAGACTTCTTTAGCAATGGCATAGTACCTAAGGCATTTGACTGCTAACCAGAAGACTGGTGGTTCAAACCCACCAGCCACTCCTTGGAAGGAATACTGGGAATCTACTTCTATATAGATACAACCTCAGAAACCCAAGGAAGGGTCGCTATGAGTTGGATCTGACTCAAAGGCAGTGAGTTTGTTTTTTTTTTTAGTGGTGTAGTGCCTAAGGCATTTGACTGCTAACCAGAAGGCTGTGGTTCAAACCCACTAGCCACTTCTCAGAAGGAAGACTGGGCAATCTACTTCCATACAGATACTGCCTCAGAAACCCAAGGAGGGGTTGCTATGAGTCAGATTTGACTCGATGGCAGTGAGTGAGGTTTTTTTTTTTTTGGGGGGGGGCGGTTTAGAACTTTCCTCAAACTAAAAATGTTAGCAAGAGTCATAGAGAAATGTACAACATTAAATCCAAATGTGTGTTTTTATATTATATTATTTTTGATGCTAGATAAAATAAAAAAGCGGGAAAATAAATTTATACCAATGGTAAGACTATGAAGAAGAGCCAAGAAGTGATTACCATAAAAGTCAGGAGAGTATGTTAAGCGGAGGGGAGAAGGAATGTCCAAGAAAGCAGGGCCTGGGGGGTGGGGTAGGGGAGGCACTGGGAAAGTGCTGGTGATGCTCTATTTCCCAACCTGGGCAGTGATCACAACGATGAGCACTGACTGCGATACTATGCTTTTGCTCTGTGTGCTTTTCTGTATGTTACATTTAATAATAAAGCCAAGTAAAATGAAGTGCCACATAAATATCTCTAAAATGGCATCCTGCTCATTAACAGCCACACTGACAAGCCATCACACCATTAATAACCCATGCCATCGAGTTGATTCTGACACATAGCAATCCTATATGATAGAGTAGAACTGCCCCTCAGGGTTTCCACGGTTATACAGCTTTATGGAAGCAGACTGCCTCATCTTTCTTCCATGGAGCAGCTGATGGGTTTGAGCCACCAACCTTTTGGTTAGCACCCCAATGCTTTAACCACTGCCCCACCAGGACTCCTTATACCATTAACAGCACCTCTCAAAATATTTAGTTTTGATACATTCCCTTAACATGCTGGTCAATTGTACTGAAGGTAGAGTAGACCCAAGCCTATCTAATCTGCCACTTTAGCTGTAAAATAGGCTTGTTGTGAAGATTAGCAATAACACATATAAGGACCAGGGCCAGACATGTAGAGTTGCCAAGTAGCAGTCACTGTCCCCTTTTTTTCTGAAATAACCCTGTATTCTGCTCCCTAGGGAAGCAGGAAAGCTACTGGGTAATAGCTCCACAACGACAAGGCCCCTGGCATCTTTTGAGAGTGTGCTTCTTCCTTAACCCTGAGATATTTTTAAATTTTACTTTATTTTCTTTAATAAGGTTCAGACATCAGCAACCATAAACTATACTGAAAGTTCTAGCTTGTTAGTAAAATTCTGTTCTAATATTTTTCAAGTTATTTTCACATAATTATAGATTCAGAAGAAATTGCAAAGATATATATAGGAAGGTCTATGCATGCTTCACCCAGCCACCCCTCATGTTAGCATCTTGCATTAACTATAGTACAATATCAGAACCATGTCAATATCAAAATGACATTGGTACAACCCACATACCTTGTCCAAATTTCATGTTATACATGTACCCGTGAATATGTATGTGTATGTGTGTGGCTCTATGCCATTTACTTACATGAGTAGCTTCATTTAATTACCACCAAGATACTTAATTGTACCACCACCACAACACTCCCTGTTGCTGCACCTTTACAGTCACAGCCACCTCCTTCCACATCCCCAACCCCTGGCAATCACTCATCTGTTCTCCATCTCTATTATGTGTTATTTTATGAATGTCATATAAATGGAATCATGCACCATCCATCTTTTTTTTCACTCAGCGTAATTTCATATTTTTCAAGAAGCAGACTTCAGGAGCTTTTATTCCATGAGAGTTTAATGGATCGGGAAGGCCTGAACAAAAGTGTGAGTATTAAGACTCACACTTTATAATGTACAAACATTCTGAATGGATCAGAAAAAGTTTATCTTCTCTTAAGACAAAAGATTCCATGGCCCATCTCCTCTTTTGTGCCCAATAACACACTGGACAAAGTGTCTATTCCACAGTCCCAACACTGACATCTTGGCATAACACTCATTATATGTATGTTCTGACTGAAAATTGCAAAAAGCAGAGGACATGTGTTGCAATTTGAGATATCTTTTGACACACCCAGTAGAGATGCGCATCAAGAGGCCTGCCTAGGTTGGATAAACCAGCAAGAACTTCAGTTGAGTACTTTGCTTGCTTTAACTTTATCACTACTTAAGGAACAGATTTCTGCCACTCCCATGTGATCTGTGACATACAGCACCTCCACTTTGACTTCTTACGCATTACCTTCTGTTCACTGCCCTCCACTCTAAGGTCTGCTTACTTACTGAACGACACTCTGCCTCAGACCATTTCGTAATTGGTTTTTGTTCATCGTGGGATTCCACTCCTGCTTGTCCAGATGTGTTGACACAAAATTATCCACTTTCTGCCTCAGGTTTTGGTAAGCTGGCTAAAATATTAAAAAGAAGGGGCAAGTCAGAAGTTAAAATGCACCAAACCTTCAAAAACAGTCATTCAGAACACTGCTTTTCATAGATATGCATACTTTCCCATCTAAATATATTCCCATTGTGACTACATGGAGATCACCATGCAACATGGAGGGGTCATAGCATTAACAGCTGACAGGAGAGCCCACATTAGAGTGGGCACAATGCCAGATGCTGTATTTACATTCCCTCACTTTTCAAACACCACTGAGGGATGCCCTATCACCTCCTTCCTCCCCACATCAGAGATTAGAAATTTAGGCTTAGAGAGTAAATAACCTGGCTGAAGTATGACAAAAACAAGTTTAGACCTACGATGCTTGTGAATCAGGGCCTGGGTTCTCACCCTGATTCCATTGCTTAACTAGCTATCTTACTTTCAACAAGTCACTCACCTTCTGTGTCAGATATTTCCATCTGTAAGACTAAAATATTATTGCCCTGTTACCTCATAGGGGTGTTCTCAAAAACAAACAAGGTCCCAGAAAAGCCCTCTGTATAAAATGAAGGGTTGCCTATACCTCAGCATGGCAAGTATGTGGACTTAAGTCAAAGCCTATGAGACACTGTGAAAGGCTGTAAGGAAGCAAGACACAAGTGCAAAATAAAGGCATTCTCTGCTTGAGACACTTATTGGCTGCAAAGCTCTAGACCAAACTATTATCAGAAGAACAGAATTAGAAGTGACTTGGTGAACACAAGGAATGCATATTCTGAGCCAAAATCTTCTGGCTTTATCCACTGGCTCACCTCTCCTCCAAACCAGGTGTGAGAGTGTGGACTGCTGGTTGGCACTTCACACCACGCACCCGCCCACAGTGGGCAGTGCATGCTTCCCCACCCCAGTGGTATTGAGCTTGGCACTGCGATTTTCTCTGGCCAGTGGAATGTTAGAGACATGAGACCTTAAATGTGCTTATGCCATCTGCTTTGGATCTTGTGCTCCTCCAGGAGGGCATTTCTTCAGTAGCTAGCCACTGCCCCTTCAGGTCTGGGATCTAACATGAGCCCATATGCAACAGATCTAAACTCAACCCACAGCCTGGACCTGAGCCCAGGCAGACTAGAGCTGAGCCACCCAGATGAAGCCTACCTAGATCAGCTGAACTTAACCTCACTTGCAGCTCTAGCCAACCGGTTCCAAATAGCTTACAGAGCATATATGTCGCATAGCAACTAACTCACTTGCATGTGGGATTTTCACCTGAGTAGGAAACAGGCAGGCATTCTGGTAGTGCAGTGGTTAAAAGCACTCACTTACAAATCAAAAGGTTGGTGGTTTTAACCCACCAGCTACTCCGTGGGAGAAAGATGAAGACAGTCTGCTTCTGTAAAGATTTATAGCCTTAGAAATCCTATGGTGCAGTTCTACTCTAGCCTATAGGGTTGCTATGAGTTGGAATCTACTGGATAGCAGTGGGTTTGGTTTTGGTTTAGGAAACAGGCAGTGGTCAAAGATGGCAGCTGACTGTGCCACTTTGAATGTGTGTCAGTCACCATCTTTGAGCAGGGTACTAATGCCTGTCTCCTCAAAAAATCCACTGCCATGGAGTCAGTCTCAACTCATAGCCTATAAGAGAGTAGAATTGCCCTGTATGTTTCCAAGGCTGTAAATCTTTACAGAAGCTGACTACCACATCTTTCTCCTGCAGAGCAGCTGCTGGGTTCGAACTGCCAACCTTTTTGTTAGCAGCCAAGTGCTTTAACCACTGCACCACCAAGGCTCCTTATCTATTTCCTAAACCAACCAAAAACAAAACTCACTGCCAACAAGTCAATTCCAACTCATAGCGACCCTATAGGACAGAGCAGAACTGCCCCAGAGGGTTTCCAAGGCTGTAAATCTTTATGGAAGCAGACTGCCTCACCTTTGTCCTGCAGGGTGGCTGGTGGGTTCAAACCGCTGACCTCTTGGTTAAAGCCCAAAGCTTTAACCACTCTGTCACCAGAGCTCCTTTTGTACTCTGGTCAAAATACTATGCACAAGAAATTTGGGTGGTATGCAACAGGTATGCTCCATCAGCCATGTCTGAACTGTTTTGAATTGGGTTGAAGCCCTGTCTAGCAGCATAAATGAGTACAAATGCTTATTGTTGTAAGCCAGTGAAGTCTGATTTCCTATGCAGCATTACCGTGGCAAAAGTTTGCTAATACATCAGGTAAATGAAATCATTAAAGCAATCAGCAGGCCTTACTCCATGCCTCTTCAAAAATGACAAGAAAATAGACTCAAAAACCTAAAGAATCTCCACTAAACCTGAAATGAAGAAGGCTGGGAGGAAGATGAGAAGGAGTAAAATTCACAATAACAACTCCTTTTTCCTGGTAACTATCTTCTCCTCTTCATAAGGGTAGGGGAGTGGCTGCCATATTCTTATGACCCTGTTCACCTGACCCAAGCTAAGAAAATGCAGTCATTCCCTAAGATCTTTACAACTAGAACAGAGAGAAAAATCCATTAAGACGTACTCAAGAGATGCTAGTAACTAAATGGATGAATCCACTCTGTGGTTAAAATAAGCATAAGCGCAGAGATGAAAGAGAGAGCCCTCATGGAGAATCCCCAGTTGTAAAGTATTCCTGCTCTTCTGGCAGTTTGTTCTTTCAATCCTCCCTTGGATTCCATGAGTCAATAGATTCCTCCCTTTGCTGAACAGAGGTAGAACTATTTCTGTCACTTATAACCATAACTCATGATGCTCTATCTTCTACTACTCAAAATAACTCACCCAGTTTGAGATGATAGAAACTGTTTACTGAAAAAGGCTGAAGGCTAGCAAATGCTAATACCAAACCTTTAACAGACTTGACAATATAGAAAAATCTCTTCGGTTCATGAAGTGAAAGGTTCTAATGTGTCTACGTTAACAATTTACAGGTTTTTTTTTTTTTTAATCATATATTTATCTATCCTCTGGCGGCACAGTGCCTAAGGCATTTGACTGCTAACCAGAGGTTGGCGGTTCAAACCCACCAGCTGCTCTGCGGAAGGAAGATGGGGCAATCTACTTCCATAAAGATTCACTGCCTTGGAAACCCAAAGGAATCGACTTGATGACACTCAGTTTGATTTTTTTTTTTGCTTTAATCCTCTTTGAATCACCCATCAGTTCATTCTATTTATTTACTTGTATTTCAGATAAATGGCAAAGTAAATTACAGACATCAATACACCCTCCCCTACACACTTCAGTAGTTCTGAGTGGGGCCTGAAACTTGCATTGCTAACAAGTTCCCAGATGATACTGATGCTGCTGATCCAGGGACCACGGTTTTGAGAACCACTGAGCTAAATAAAGGTCTCGGGTAAGATGTGAGTAAAAACACTATCCTCACAAATTAAAACAACCTGGTAACGAACAGAAGAAACAATTAAGGTGGTATTAAGTGTGGTGAGTGGCTCTGGTGGCAAAAAAGTTAAGTGCACACAGCTAACCTAAAGGTTAGCTGTCCGAACCCACCCAGCAGCTGTGTGGGAGAAAGACCTGGCAATCTGTTCCCGTAAATATTACCCATTACCATCAAGTCGATTCTGACCTACAGAGACCCTACAATGATCCTATAGGACAGAGCAGAACTGCCCCATAGGGTTTCCAAGGCTGTAACTCTTTACAGAAGCATACTGCCACATCTTTTTCTCGTGGAGCAACTAAACAAAAAAAAAAACAACCCAAACTCACTGCTGTGGAGTTGGATCCGACTCATAGCGACCCCTCCTTGGGTTTCCAAGGCGTTATCACTACAGAAGTAGATTGCCCATCTTCTTTCCAAGGAGTGAGTGGCTGGTAGGTCTGAACCGCCAGCCTTCTGGTTAGCAGTCAAATGCCTTAGGCGCTAGCGGGTTTAAACTGCTGACATTTTGGTTAGCAGTCCAGTGCTTAACTGCTATACCACAAGCCTCAAAAATCCTATGGAACAGTTCTAATCTGTCACATGGGGTTGATATGAGTCGGAACTGACTCAACACCATTCAACAACTAAGTGGTTGCCTTCCAACTCTCTCCTTCCCAACAGCTTCTCAATATTGATTTTGTTTTAAATCACACACATGCATTACAGTGACTAAGGCATACAAAACCTAAATGGAGAATGTATTGATGAGAAATTGAGAACACCCAGAGTCTTTTTGAAGGTCAAAGTGGCCAGTCACTATGGTAGCCATGTCCCTTAAAGAAAGAAAAATCAAGTACATTGCTTCAGGGATGGCATTTCTACTTCGGTTTTTTATGTTGGAGGAGTAAAACAATGCAGAACTTACTACCTATACTGCCTGGTTGACATGTCCATTTTCTATCCTACAACACGAGCTTTGAGATGGGGTCAATTACTTACTCCTGTACCTTTATAAGAACATCGGCATGTTGTAGGCCAATTAATGTTCAATGAATGAATAGATTACATCTGTCCCTATTTTTAAGGTCTAATTTCCAGGTCACAGTATTCCTGGAAGTATGCAACAAGATTTCCATAACATGCTAAGAGGAGCAAAAATCATATCCCTCGAGGAGCACAGCCAGTAACAGAGACTCCAAAACCCACAACTAAAGAGTCCTTTGGTTTTGCTGGAGAGGCTTTTAAAAAAAGAGAAAATGAACATTGCAGCAATTAAATGTCTGACATTTAACACATATTACCTCACTGAATCTCCACAAACCCTGGCAAGTAGGTAAAGCAAACTTGCATTTTACTGGGGATTGGCCTATGGCATGAGGTTTTCAAACAATGATGGAGTACCATAGAAAGGTGCTGATTCTACAACAATGGACTTTAATTCAATTGCATACCAAAGTGTGCAAATCACTGAGTCAGAGCAAAGGAACAAATAGATAGCTATCATATGCTGATGTGCATTCAAACCATCGTGTTTAATGTCAGCTCCTTTGTGGTGAAGGGAGAATTGGTGGAAGTTCTAAAGCATTCTTGCTTACTTGGCTTTCTTCACTGTTCCTAACACACTGAGGTTTGTTTGTTACTCAGGGTTTTAAAGGAGTCTCATCTTGAGAATGATTAAGACCCTGGGTTTTTCTAAAACTATCAAGTTTACATGTCAGTTTTCTATCCTAGGAGCTTTAAGATGGGGTCAATAAATTCTGTACCTTTATAGGAATATAGTTATGTTATAGGACAATAAATGTTCAATGAATGAATAGGTTACATCCTTTCTAAAACTAGTATTGACCCCCAAAGCTCTGAGAAGGGATTAGGCCAAAATCATACAGCTAATAAATGTGGGGCTGGGAACGCAATCCACAAGGGCGAGACTCAGAAAAGTTCTATGTACTGCTCCAAGCGGTCTAACATCTCACTGCTGAGATTCAAAAGGTATTTTTTGTGTTTTTGTCCCTGCATCGGAAAAACAAAGAAGCCCTGGTGGCGCAGTATTTAAGCGCTCCGCCGCTAACCCAAAGGTTGATGGTTCGAATCCACCAGATGCTCCGCGGGAAAGATATGGTAGTCTATTTTCGTAAAGATCACAGCCTTGGAAACCCTATGAGGCAGTTCTACTGTCTCACAAGGTTGCTAGGAGTCCGAATGGACTTGACGGAAACGGGTTTTTGGAAAAGCAAGGCTGCAGCCTTGGCATCCTCACGCCCAGCTCGGATTCCCTTAGCTCAGGCAGTCTCAGCTACCTTCGTGTCCACGTCGGCCAGGCAGTCCCGGCGGAAACTGTCAAACAGGCCCCGGCTCTTCAGCTGCTCCACGATGAGGGCGATGAGCTGCGGGTCACCAGGTGGCAAAGAGGCCGGGTTGATGGGGCCGCCGCTCCCGCCCGCCCCTGTCGCGCCCGAAGCTGCCCCCGCCGAAGTCTGGCCAGCTCCGCTGCCGCCCACTGCCCCCGTTCCCCCGCCGCCGTCAGCCATGGCTGTGCCCCGGGCCCGCGATGCAGACCAAGTAAAGCTGCTTTTCAGAGGCAGAGGGCCCGGGTAGGGTAGAGGGGCTGGCGAAGGAGTCGGGTCCCAAAGAGGTGAGGGAAACAGGGGTGGCTGCGGTGGAGGAGGCGGGGGAGGCGGAGGAGGCAGCGGCGACAGCGGTGGCGGTGCAGGCGGCTGAAACTCCCCGCTCAATACCTGGCGCGCTTCAGATTGCGTCACTCCTGGTCTTTGCATTCTGGGGCGGGAGGTTTTCAACATCCATCTCCGGCTTTCTTATAATCAGAAGTCTGGCCCATGGAAACGACAATTCCCGGCAGGCTCTGGAAGCTTCCGTAGCGAGTTTGCGAGGCAGTATGGGAATTGTAGGCTCAGGCCCTCGTGGTTGCCGCAACCTGGGCTGAACCTCCCATTCCAGTTACTGCTGTTCCTCCCACTAATTCAATTTATCCCAACAGTACCTGGTTACAAGAATCGTCTGAGGAGCTTGTTAAAAGTCTAGATTGCCTTGGAGATTCTGATTCTGTAATTCTGGGTCGGAGTCTAGAAATTTGTGTGTTAACTTGCACTCCTACCCGCTCCTGGACAATATGATCCTGGGAAATTTGACAACAGTGGACCCGCCAAATCTCTAGGGGGTGATGAGAAGCAGCTATCTCACTTTTACTGTGTGCTGCTATCTTGTAGAGGCCTATATAACTGCGTGAATCTGAAGAAACAGGCTCATCTCACCCACCTCAGTACCACACACCCTTCAGGACATATCTGTACCGCTAATTCTATCAAAATCCATATTACCACACAATTTTTTTTTCCATTGCACTCAAAATGCCTTCCATTACTGACAACACAGTTTAAACAAAAAATTAAAAACAAAATAATTCAGTCTGAAGGATTAAGTCTCTTTCTCTTACTTGTGGATACCTTTTCTCCCAGATATTAAATAAAAATGACAACTAGATAATAATTTAAAAGCTAGTATTGAGTAACTGGAACATGCCAGGCATAATGCTAAGCAGTTTACATGCACTACTTCACAAAAATCTGAGAAGTAGTTGCTATTATTATTACTATTTTATAGATGTAGAAATGAAGGCACAAGAGTTTGATCACAGAAATAGAAGAATAGGATTTGAATCCAGATTTCCTGAATTGAAATCTTGCATGCATAACCTAAGGTATGCTACATCCTGAGAGCTATCTTGACAACATACGGTTTTATATCCTGATTTTTTGTAGCCACAATTGACCATTGGAACTCTATGTTTGCTGTCAGTATTCTCACTTCATCTTTTTGCCCATGAGCTCAACTCTTACCTACTACCCCAGCAATTATGTCTGCTGTTATTATTTTTGTGCGTACAAGGAGGTCTGGTAGCATAATGCCTAATGCATTTGACTGCTAACCAGAAGGTTGGCGGTTCAAACCGACCAGCCACTCCTGAAAAGGAAGGTTGGGCAATCCACTTCCGTAGAGATACTACCTCTGAAACCCAAGGAGGGGTCGCTATCAGTTGGGTTCAACTCTATGGCAGTGAGTCAGTGAGTACATAACAATGGAGGGAATGGAAATAATAACTTCTGCAATATCCCTGGCTCCACGGAAGATGCCGAATTGACAGAGATGCAGAATATTCTCGCTCAACATTTACTGTTCATGAGAGTTTATATTAACCCTCAAGATAAATTTTCAGGTGCTAGTTTCTACTCATCATTTAACATTAGCTCAACCTTTTTCTACTCATCATTTAACATCAGCTCAACCTTCTTCAATGGTTAAGTTAATGTCAAACATTCTCCCTTAATACCTTCACATTGAGGTCACCTGAGATCTATTCCTGCTAATGAACCCCACACTTTGATTGCTCACATTTAGCCTCGGGGAAAGCCCAATTCAGGCTGCCTAGGCCCCAGATTCAGTCTTAGCTAAGATTCCTGACCATCTTGGCCAACCTCTCCTCTGGTTTAGGTACACCCAGGATTACCCAATAAGCAAGATAAGCACAGGCTTCGTTGTACTCATTTACTAATCTCTCAAAACTCAAACTTACTGCTGTCGAGTTGGATCTGACTCATAGTGAGCCCTCCTTGGTTTTCCCAGGCGGTATCACTATGGAGATAGATTGCCCAACCTTCCTTCTGAGGAGTAGCTGGTGGGTTTGAACCGCCACCCTTCTAGTTAGCAGTCAAATGCCTTAGGCACTACACCACCAGAGCATTTACAACCTAGAGTGAACAACTGTGTAGGTAAACACAAGTAAGCCCATGCTTACTTTGCTTATTGGATAGTACCATACTGATTCACACCTTACTGTCTTTCTTTAGGGCAAATTTTTCTGACTTCCACAACTAATTTGGTTTTGTCTCCCTGATATAGACTCTTTAGAACCTCACTTTTGAAGCGCTTACTATAATTGAAAGTGAATCATTTACAGGCTAATTGGTGGACTGTGTCTCCTGCTGGAGTGTAAGATTTAGAGCAGCTAGCACAATTTGTTTATCACTATGTACCCAGCTCTTAGCACAACGCCTAGCTCAAAAAAAAACCAACCCAAACCACTGCATCAAGTTGATTCCAACTCATGGCAATTCCATGTGTTTTAGAGCAGAAATGCACTCCAAAGGGTTTTCAATGATTGTAATTTTTTGGAAGTAGATTGCCAAGCCTTTCTTCTGTGGTGCCGCTAGGTGGATTAAAACTGCCAGCCTTTGGGTTAGTAGCTGAGAGCAAACCATTTGTACCACCCAAGGACCTGGCTCAGAGTTGTTGCTGTTATGTGCCATCAAGTCAGACCCGACTCATAGTGACCCCTCCTTGGGTTGCTGAGGCGGTATCACTACTGGAAGTAGATTGCCCAACCTTCCTTCTGAGGAGTGGCTGGTGGGTTTGAACTGCCAGCCTTCTGGTTAGCAGGCAAGTGCCTTAGGCACTATGCTACTAGAGCTCCTAAGAGGGTCCTAATAAATACTGGCTGAGTGAATGGCTCATTTCCTGTTTGTTTCCTACAGCCATAGGATAGGGTCAGAGCATGTGTGTTGTTGTTGTTGTTATTTGCCATCGAGTCGGCCCCGACTCATAGCGACCCCTCCTTGGGTTGCCGAGGCAGTATCACTACGGAAAGAAGATTGCCCAACCTTCCTTCCAAGGAGTGGCTGGTGGGTTTGAACCGCCAGCCTTCTGGTTAGCAGTCAAGTGCCTTAGGCACTATGCTACCAGAGCTCCCAGAGCATGTGTAGGTAGGGTCATTTGTAGCCACAATCTTCAGAAAAGAAAAGCATTTTAGGAGACGATGGAATAGTCTGTCAATAGTCAAGTACCTTAGGCACTATGCCACCAGAGCTTCAGTGACCAAGACTAGGAAAGCTTTATTATTCATTCATATAGAGTAGTGCCTAAGGCATTTGACTGCTAACCAGAAAGCTGGCGGTTCAAACCCATCAAACACTCCTCGGAAGGAAGGTTGGGCAATCAACTTCTGGTCATACCGCCTGGTAAACCCAAGGAGGGGTCGCTATGAGTCTAATCTAACTCCATGGCAGTGGGTGAGAAACCTTGCAAATGTGCTGCTCCCCAAGATCAAGGAAAGTGTAACACACAATAATGGTCACTGGGGGGCGCCATTGCTGTATTAATCATTCTGAACGTTTAGCAATCTCTGCACAGACTATTTTTTTTAATTTTGGCCCATGTACGTCATCCAGTTGGGAGCTCTGGTGGTGTAGTGCCTAAGGCATTTGACTGCTAACCAGAAGGCTGGCAGTTCAAACTCACCAGCCACTCCTCCATAGGAAGGTTGGGCAACCTACTTCCACAGTGATTCCACCTCAGAAACGAACAGCAGTGAGTTAGTCATCTAGTTTTTCAAACGTTCTTTAAGTAACAAGCACCGATGCTTCTGTCTTAAAATTTGGCCATAATGACTTGCGTGAGCCCAGTGAATTGCATATATTAGGTGCTGAAATATTTTATGTCAAAGACTGCATGGTGAGCAGAATTTCAAGCCCAAATCCAGACCTCAAAGGAGAAAGGGCAGAAACTGGGTAGGGATTGATAATTATAGGCTGCTAAGGGGGGATGTGAAAAAGTAACCATGTGCATGAGTTTTTTGCATCAAACTGTGCTGAACTGGAATCTCAACTCCTCACTTTGTAGGTGCTGTGACCTTGGGAAAGCTGCATCGTCACTCTGAACCTCAGTTTCCCTGGGATTGTAGAGAGGATTAAGCACAGTTTTGGCAATCCATTTAGCATAATTCCTGGCCCTTAGCAAATGTTAATACTATTTTACAGTCATAAATTGATATTTGGCTTGGAAGGTTATTTGATTTACCTCTGTCTCTCCTGACTCACCTCTGAATGCCATGAAGTCAGAGATTGTCTGCCGTGTTCATCATTGTGTCCTTAGCACCTGGAACAGTGTCTGATATGTATAGGCTTTTGGTAAGTAGATAATGCATGGATGAAAAAAAAAAAAATGAATGAGCAAATAGGACATTTGCTTTTCTAGCTACAAATAAGATCGTTTAAGACTTGCTATTATCTTGGACTGAGTGTCAGCATATAGTCAGTATTCAGAGGGTTCAGATTCAGATACAATCTAGTGAGCCATCCATAATACATGACGAGACTGCACTAGGAGGCTGGAGTGCAGGGCAGGCCTAAAGGTTAGAAGTCATTCTTGGTAAACTTCCAACTTTCTAATCCAAGATCCTGATGCTTTAGCAAGAGCATTTCAGAAGCCAAAGGAGATGATAAGGGGCCCTCATGGCCCAAGGGGTAAGCACTCAGCTGCTAACTGAATGGTCTGGTTTGAACCCACCAGCTATTTCTCAGGAAAAAAGGCCTGGAAATCCTATGGGTCAGTTCTTCTCTGTCCTATAGGGTTACTGTGGGTCAGACTTGACTTGACAATACACATCAACAAGGGGACAGTGGTGTTTCAGTGGTAGAAATCTCACCTTCTTATGTTGGAAAACTCAAGTTCAGTTTCCAGCCAATGCACCTCATGCACAGCCATATCTATCTGTCAGTAGAGGCTTGCATGTTGCTATGATGCTAAACTGATTTGGGTGAAGCTTCCAGACT